CTTAAATGGTCGAGTGATACCTTATTCTAAAGGTCTTCCAATTCCCTTTATAATGATGTAAAATACATAAGCTTCAGTTCAGTAGTTTTGAAGATTTATTGATTTAAAGCTTAAAGTAGACTTTAATAGGTACATCAGATTAGTTTGTACTACTTTCAGAAGAAATTTGACTAAAAGAATTTACTTAATAAGTAAATGCTTTTCTTCACTACGCCCATGGTTTGTTTATGATTTTGTTGCTGAAAATAGCTATTGGAGCATTTTTTGTGGCAAAAAGTTATTTCTTGAAGAAAGATAAGGAAATATGTCGTACTTATTTTAAATAGGAATTTAGTACATAGTTTGCGATTGATTTGACCAAACTTTGTTGCTAAAATAACTTGTAACGCTTTTTTACATAAATTGACCATGGTATATTCCACAGCAGAAAGAGTTGAAATTATCGAAATATTTTTCGGAAATAATCAGTGCGCTAATAGAACAGCAAAAATATTTAATGGGCGACATGAGAACAGTAACGTGTATCGAAAATATGTTCTAGAACTGGTAGCTAAATTTCGGGAAACTGGGTCAGTCGCCAATAAAAAACGCAACATTGAAAATCCCATAAGGAACGAAGCAATAGAAGTTGGGGTTTTAGGGCAAGTTTACGTAGATCCTACGTTAAGTACCCACAAATTGGAGACTTTGTGTGGTGTTAGTCGCCGTACTGTCCAACGGATTCTAAAGACCCATAGTCATACGTATAAAATTCACCTGGTACAAGAACTTAGTGAAGACGATTTTGATCGGCGATTACAATTTTGTGAAGATATGAGTGAACGAATTATAAACGATGAACATTTTCTATTCAACACTTGCTTTTCCGACGAATGTTCCTTTTTCTTAAATGGCGTAGTAAATCGTCATAACTGCCGATATTGGTCCGATTCTAATCCCAGAATTTATCATGAGGTTCATACACAGCAGCCACAAAAATTAAATGTTTGGGCTGGTATTTTTGGCGATCCTTTTTTATTATATGGAAATTTGACCGGTGAAATGTATTTGGAATTACTGGAAGACACCATAGATTAACAGCCATAATTGAAAATCACAATGATAGGCGGTACATTGCGAATAGGTTGATGTTCCAACAGGATGGTGCCCCACCACATTACGCATTACGTGTTCGACAATATTTAGATCAGACATTTCCAGATTGATGGTTTGGTAGAAGAGGTGCCGTTGAATGGCCCCCAAGATCGCCAGATTGATCACCTATGGATTTATTTATGTGGGGTCATTTAAAAAGCAAAATCTATGCCACTCAGCCAACATAATTAGAAGATCTGCGACAGAAAAGAAGAAGAACATTAACTTGCCTAACGGGTCAGTTCATTCTTCATTTTTAAATTACTTTGCTGCCAAATGTATTGATCTCCACTAATGATGATGTATTAGTTTTATTTAAGCTTTAAATCAATAAATCTTCAAAACTACTGAACTGAAGTACATTAATTTTATATCATTATAAAGGGAACTGAAAGACCTTTAAAATAAGGTATTACTCGACCCCTTTTCCATTTAAGATTTTGGGAGTGGTGTCACCCCCGCTTAGGGGGCTGCACGTGCTAACGTGATTTTTTGCCAAACTTGTATCCCCCTCGAAAACAAAATCGACGGGTCTGAGCGTTTTACCAAAAAAAAACTGCGCTGCCAGTAAATGCGTCTGTTTCGTTTTCGATGCGCCACCCTGTATATAAATTAAACAATACTGCTTTGGCACAGGTGGGTGTTGCTAAAGATTTAGGTGTCTATATCGATGATAAACTTTCTTTTAACTATCATATTGAAAAAACCATTAATGAAGCCAATAAGTGCTTGGGCTTCATAAAAAGAACCGGTAGACGTTTCAAAAATCCAATTACCCTGACTTACTTGTAATACTCCGTTTGCAGTAGATTATCTTTCGCATCTGCTATATGGAATTCCTTTTATGCTATACACTCCAATCGTATAAAAAGAATTCAGAATAAGTTTTCGCGTAGCGTCGCCTTCAAATGTGGCACTCTCATCACAAACAGTAACTATGATGTAATAATGAAAAAGTTCAATATTTTATCACTATTTAATAGAAGAGTAGTTTCTGACATTTTAGTTATCTACAAGCTAGTCAAAAATCTCTGGGACTGTAATGATTTACTTTGTTCCGTTAATTTTAATGCACCAGACAGGAATTACCGACACTACGATTTGTTTAACGTTCCATATTGTCGCATAAATCTAGGTATTAATTCTCCATTGATAAGGGCACAAAGGGCATACAATCAGTTTTGTGGAGAAGACCTGTTCCGCCATAATATCAAGGACATCCTGATGACAGAAAGATGCACCTAGATGGCTAAAACCACCTGTATGTGCTTTCATCATCCGGACTTACAAATGAAAAGAAAATCCTATTTATTGGATTATACATGGTGCGGCAGAGAGGATGGACGGTTTTAAAAAAATCATAAAAAAGTTAATTTTTACTCGAAAACAAATTTACTGATGGAATCAGGTTCACAAGGAAATAGCATTTGAGACAGTCAAGTGTGGAAAATCGCATCAGGTATGAGGTGGCCGAAATCGTAATGCAGTGCTGGAGGCGTTCTTGGAAGTTCGCGTAGACTCTCTCCAACATCGCTCTCTCAACTTGGGCGACTTCCATGCGAATTTCGCCCTTCAATTCGTCTAGAGTTCGGGGCTTGTTCGCATATACTCTAGCCTTGAGGTGTCCCCATAAGAAAAAATCGCATATGGATAAATCTGGGGACCGAGGAGGCCAATGAACATCGCCAAACCTGGAAATATGGCGACCAGGGAAGAGAGGGCGAATAAGGTCCATGGATGCTCGGGCTGTGTGGGCGGTCGCCCCATCCTGCTGGAACCACACACGTCGGATTGGAACACGTCGCCGTCGTAATTCAGGGAGAAAGAAGTTGGTGATCATGTCGACGTAGCAGAGTTCACGGTAACATCACGACCATTACCGTCTTCGAAGAAGTAAGGGCCAATTATGCAAGTTACTTTTGGCAGCGGTCTTTTGTGTAACTGTTGCGGATTTTCATTAGCCCAATAACGACAATTCTGCTGGTTAACCATGCTGTTTAGGTGAAAGTGGGCTTCGTCACTCATAGGCGGAAACGTGGTGCTCCACCGTCCAAGGCTCCATAACGACAACTGGTAAAGTAATGCTAGGATCTCACGAGTTAAACGGCATCCTCCCTACCTCTCTCGTAGACGGAGGCGGAGAGCACTACCCATCCCAAAAACGTCCATCCCCTCTGCCGCACCCTGTAAAATACAATAAAAAAGAAACAATAATTATAATCAATCATACTATGATACAAAAACATCATTAGAAAAGCCTTTCAATTTGTGCAGCATTCCCAAAGATATATTTTCTGCAGCTGGTACTAAATGGTATAAAATTTTTCATCCTTTTCAAGTGTTCTGTCAGAATGCTATATCTCTTTGGTCCTATATACGTTATGTACGTTTAGATTAGGTTATGGTTATTCTTGGAAATTTCTATTTGCCTGCCCACATTTGCACGAGTACAGTAGTTATGACTTACTTGTTTCTGTAATTTTTCATTTCTATAAATAAAAGTAGATACTGTCATCACGTACAAGGTTCTAATATTACACACATCCTTTGTAAAAAGTATATTCTCTTTATCTCTATCTTTTATCTTTCTTAAAAATAATTTTAGTAATATATTTCTGAATAATAATGAGTTTATGTAGAAGATTATTGTACAGTCCCTCCCAAACTAATATCCCATATCTAACTATAGATTCAACAAATGCTTTATAAACTGTTATTAATTTTTTTTATCGAGAAACTCACGTAGTAGATAAAATTTATAGATTAATTTTCTAACTCTACTCGATACATAATCAACATGCGGTTGCCACTTTAAAAGTTGGCCAATAATGTTTAGTTTTAGACACTTCCTTAACAGAATAATTATCATCCAACATAATAGTGTTGTAATTTAGCCTGTTTTTATTGGTCAATGAAAACGCAATATAGTTTGTCTTAGCTAAATTCAATGTTAGTTTACTCTCATGTAACCAGTCTTTTACCATGCCTAGACCATACACTGTTTTACACTTTACATCCTCCCAACTAGAACCTGCAAAAGGAAGTACAGTATCGTCAACACAAGAAATAGTTAAACCGCCGTGTCCAGCTTTAGCGTCTTATTTATATAAATTATAAAAAGGAGCGGTCCCAAAACAGTACCCTGCGGGACACCAATCTTTATTGTTTTTTCATTGCCCGTTATGTTATTTAGTTTTAGCAGTTGTGCTCTGTTTGAAAGATAAACCCTCAGTAAACCATAAGCCACTCCCCTGATACCATTGAATGTCGATTAGCTTATCGTGAGGAACCGTTCCGAAAGCCTTAGCAAGGTCCAAAAAAACAGCAATACTCTTGTTGTCATTATTCAGATTATTTACAACCTCAGTTATTAATTTCTGCATAGCATCCACTGCACTGTAACTCTCAAGAAACCCGAATTGATTATCTGATAATACATTATTAGTTTTAAAAAAATCCATTAATCGAGTTTTAAGACATTTTTCAAATAGCTTTGCAAAATTTGTTATTAAACTTATAGGCCTGTAATTTCCAATAGAAGTAGTATCCCCTGATTTATGTATCGGAATAACTATTGACGTTTTAAACTCTTTCGGGACAATTCGAGTTTCCAAAATTAAATTGTAAATATGTAATAATGGTGTTAAAATTTAAAAATGAGTTTGCTTTATAGTTTCAGCCTGTATGCCATCATAACCAGGAGCACTATTGCATAGATGCGATATGTTTTATCAGTTCGTTTCTTGTAATGGGACTTAAGAAAATATAATTCTGGACAAGGTGCATCAATTTACACTGAGATTAAGCAGTGGGAATTGTCCGCGCCATGTTAACACCCACAACAAATATTCATTACAAAAATTTACCATTTCAATAGAATCAGTAAACTGGATGCCATCGTTATCATTTATAGAAATATAAGATTGACTTTTGATACACTTCTCGTACGTTGCATCCTTTATGACGTCATACAGTTTTTTCATGTTATTTTTATTTTTTTCAATTTGCGTTCTATAGTAATTATTCTTGTGTTTGTGTATAAATTTATTTAGTTTATTACTATAATCCTTGTACTCATTTTACAAAGAAAAACTATAATTTGCTGGAAGTCCCTTTTTCATTTCATGCCTTTCTTCACAGAAACAATAATTCCATTGCTTGCCCATGGTTTTATTTTTTTTGGGATTGATACTCTTGTTGATTTCAGCAGCAAGTCTCTGTAGGTAGTCAAAAATAACTTTACAGCTATTTCTGGATCATTCACACTAGTTACCATATTCCAATCACAATCATTCAAAAACTCCTTAAATTTATCTATGTTTAGTTTGTTTTGTGTTACCACTTGTGCAACCTCCAAAATTCCAGAAGATCGTGCTTCATTAGATATACAAAGCACTGTTGGACTGTGATTCGTTATTTCCTCATGGATTATATAGGAATCTAATAATAAACAATTGGTTTCCAATGTTTGCCTAACAAATATATGGCCCAGGCAAGTTCCCGAAAACAGTCTAGTAGGTTTATTGATAAACGCTTTAAAGCCAGCTAGTCATTCTGATGGTTATTGTTTTAGTAAGAGGCACTTTCTGTAAGCAAACTTTTTGTTGCTATCTACACTATTTGTAAGCGAAATGTATCCTTCTTGCTGCAACTAACCACAAATTCAAAATATGTGCACAACCAGCATTTCACTGGAAACACACTTCCCACAGCACTATTGTGATTTGTTTCAAAAATCAAATTTGTTACTGAAGTATTAACGTAGATTTTCGATAAAATCGGGAGAGCACTTTTTTACACACGTCGTTCGTTCATGATACATATAGCAGAATGTATTTCATTCGTAATATTGTTCATATATTGGGAGAATATACGTGTGCTACTTGGGTATTTGCTAAAACATTGATTAAATTATAAATATGTTCATTTGCATATGTGTAATGATGCACTTGTAATGGTCACACATACATAACTTTTTATTCTATTAGGGCCCAGGCGGTAGTTATTTATCCGAATTTGAAAAAAGAAAGATCTCAGCATTTTGGAAAGATAGGTTAAACCGACCAGAAACTGTTTAGCGGTCCCATAACGTTAATTTCAAATTATTTAAGCAGCGTTGCTCAATAAGTTTTGCATATAGAAACATAGTAGGCCGCGCGGATCGAACGTCAGTACTGAATCTTAACCTCTCTCTTTAGTAAACTTAAATTCAAAGTTTCACAACAATACGTGCAGTGTTCTCACTACAGTTAATTTTTAAGTGTAACCAAGTCATTAGAAAAATGGAACTCAACCGAGAACATTTTCGCACCATAATTTATTACAACTTTCAGAGACAATTATCGCAACAAGAATGCCTTGCTGAATTACTGTCTGTTTTCGGCAACAAAGCATCACATTTCCCGTTGGTATGGAGAATTCAAACGTGGACGGGTGAGTCTTAGCGAAGATCCCAGGGTGGGTGCACCAAAAACGGCAGTCACCCAGGAAAAGGTCGATGCTGTGCGCAAACTCATCATTGAAGATAGACATGTGACATATCGCGAGATTGAGGCATCCTTGATGATCTCAAAGACCTCAATACAAAAATTTTACCTGAAGAATTAGGAGTAAGAAGATTAGTTTCTCGTTGGATAACCCCACCTGTTGACGTAGAGCAGAAAGCAGCCAGGGTTAATTGGTGTCAAAAAACGCTTGACCGTTTCAATTCCGGAAACTCAAAAAATATGTACAGCATTGTTAGTGGTCACGAATCGTCGATTTACTGTTATAAACCAGAAAATAAACGACAGTCGGCTGTTTGGGTGTTCCAAGGTTAAGAAAAGCCAACAAAAGTCATCCGTTCTCGAAGTGTTTCGAAAAAGATGGTCGCGGCATTTGTGTCAAAAGCGGGTCATATTGCAACAATTCCTCTTAATGAGCAAATAACTGTTACTGCAGATTGGTATACAACCATTTGTTTGCCAAAAGTCATCACCGAGCTTCGAAAAATCAACCCCGAAAGAAGAATCATCCTCCACCAAGACAATGCAAAAGAACACGGCAGTATTCAACGGAAGAAAACATGGAATTATTGGACCATCCTCCATATAGTCCCGATCTAAGTCCTAACGATTTCGTTACTTTCCCGAAAATGAAAAACAGACTCCGTGGTCAAAGGTTCCAAACAAAAGAAGATGCAGTTGATGCAGTCAAAAACGCCGTTTTGGATCTGCCAGCAAACGAGTGGAGTTAGTGCTTCGAAAATTGGTTCGAGTGCATGCAGATGTGTATTAATCTTCGTGGAGAATACTTCGAAAAAACAATAAAGTCATTTAAAGCTACCTATCGTGTTGTTTTATTTCCATATGCAAAACAAGACGCTGAGAATCCCGCTTTCTATCATCATTCTCCTTTGGGTGATTTTTGCTGATGAACGAAGTTAAAGATGGTTCTGATGGACTCAATCCCTACTGGCGTGATTAGCGGAAAGAGTATGGTATATTATCTTATATTATATTTTATTATGTTATATCCTATTATATTATATTAGATTATGTTCCGGCCTCGTCTCGTAAGTGAAACAGAAGCAGTACCTTGTTTCCCGGCCAAGCCCACGAGTTCAAAGCGCACACGCAGCGAAGAAATGTGGTTCACCGCGCTCCCCCGCCTTCCCCCTAAACGGCCCCTGGCGTGCAAATTCTCATTCTTTGTTCGTACCCGAATTTGTGCACCGATTTTTTCGTTCGGCAGCGTCGAGGTGCCCAATCACAAGAAACGGCAAAGGAACTGCACAAATATTAAACAACTGGAGCGAAGATGGACCAATAGATGTGCCGGCGAAACGTCACCCTCAGGGTTCCCTTCGCCGCGGAGCAGACTGAGAAACTGACGTGCCGGCCTCTTTTTCTGCTGAAGAGGCGTCACCAACAGGCAATTATCTACTAACCGATCTGTTTTAGGTGCAATTTTGTGAAGTTAGGTGAATGTTAGTACAGGTTGAGGCCATCTCAACCGAATATAGCCCCATTTGAGATACTGTGGTTATTGTCAACCAACCAGAGGGGTTTCTGGTGACTTCTGTGGATATCAAATAGCAGCACTTCTATCCCTAATCTCAGCTCAGAGTGTGCAAAGTCTGCCCCTAATTGAAACAGGCAATATCCGGCAGGGGTATTACGTATCTTGAAAATCACCTTATGTCGATTTTTTTTGACATTATATTGTCTTTTTGTGACTGTATGTTGGTTTTTCTGCAAGATGTTAGTATAGCACTAGCTGATGGACACTTGTTGTTGTTATACGTGTTCACTAAACGTCATGATGATTCAGTTATCAATGTTTGGCTTGGATGTGACGGAAGGAAGCGGCTGTCCATAGTGAGGATCTGTGTTGATGATGATTCCATTGGTTTCTTGTCTCAAGTACACCTACTTGAGATTCAAAGCTAGAAATTAGTTTCGCATCCACTTTTTCTCATTCATGAAAGTGAAAAGGTTATTACATTGTTATTAATTTCAAGTCATTTGAATTTTATAGAAATGTTACATTATATAATAGTATAGTACAGTAGTAGCCCACAGGAAGGAATATACTTGTACGTGGGTGCTGTTCAATATAAAAGCTACTCACCGAGTGTTTTATGTCTCAAGATTAGGAACCTTTGCACTCACCCTGAAAGAAAAGGAACGTAATGTTAATTGAAATATACGTCAAATCAGTATACGCCACCATTAAATCACAGCCCAGCAACATGAAAAAAGCCATGCGAAAAAAACATCGGATTTTAAATATTCCTGATGTGCTTTAAAAACGTCCCTCACTTTTCTGTAGCAGCTTATTCGCCATTCAACAAACATCATTGACACGAAGAGTCAATCAAATGCGATTTAAGACAAATAAAACGGTTTGCAATAACAATACCCCATAGCAAGCTTTAGAGTTCTGTCAGTGGAAGTCTGAACGATATTTAGCGACTTTGGCAATATTGAAATTCTTCTCTTCATATTAATTTTCAGGGTCAAAAGTTGCTTATTTTACTCTTTTTCAAATATTGTATCACTTATATCTCGAAAAGCGGAGTTGATACGGAAGAAAGGGAATGCTTTTTTAAAAATCAGCGCATCCAAGATTACTCAAATGAAGTTTTTACTTATCCGACATCGAATGCCGTTCACCTGTGATGGGCTGATGACAGGCGATATTGATACAATGATCTATAAGTATTATGAATCAATGTCCAGCGAGAATGGTTCTAAAGTCACCTGTTGTTATCTACGGCTTATGTTCGAATAATGGGTTCGGTCAGCAGACATAACAAAACTAAGTTCAGACAGATGCTATGTCCGTTAAGAACTCTATGACTAGCTTTAGTACTAGTTCGTCAATTCATTATAGTCCATATTAAACGAAAATATCCCTGGATTGCGAAATAATTGAGAAGTCTGGTTTTATTGCTGCAAGTTGTTCAAGGGGGTATTTAAAACATGGACGCATTAAATGGGTACACCAATTTTAGTGGGAAAACTTTTTATCCGACAACAAAGAATGAGAAAAAAACCTGAGATTCAATCGAAAGTGTTATCAGGAACGAGAAAACTCTTTATATAAGATTTTTAGGTGTTTATTAGACTTACAAAATGAGACCACACGTAAAAAGGTCCGACTAATAGCAAAACAGTTATGACCGAAAACCAAGACAAACTGCAGGTTTTGGCACTTGTTGGTAATGCGGCGATAGTTTCTCGCAGATATTTGAGATTCTTTAAGTCCGTAGTATTCTTACTTCTAAATAACCACAACACAATTGGAGTAGATTGGTCAAGTAGTTTTTGAGAATTCCTAATTGTTTGTCCCAAAACACCTGTCTTCCGGTTATCACTACTAGTTTACTGAGCAACATACAGGGTTAGTTCAAGGGAAACTTTATAGCAAAATACACTAGTTTACCATTTCGGAAGATAAATGTTATTTTTATGCAAAAAAGGTTGGGTTACGTTTTTTC